TATTATTATTATTATTATTATTATTATTATTATTATTATTATTATTATTATTATTATTATTATTATTATTACTATTGCTATTGCATCATTATCATTATTATCCATTTTCCTCGCACGCAAACATACAGTCATCTCCATTCTTTTTCGACCCCAATTATGATGCTACGTATGACTAATCATGAAAACAGCGTGAAAATAAAACATTGAATATTAAATGGGGGAAAAAAACGAATTTCAATTTTTATCATTTTTCATATGAATATTAAAACTATTTAATAGTTATTTTAAACCCCACACAAATAAACAATTTCTTTTTTTTATTTAAGTCAAATACACGTTTTTCTCTTTCCCATAAAAAATATGCGTGTGTGTATATAAAAGTGTATATTAAAAAAATATTTAGTAATGATTATAATGATAATAAAAAAAAATTTTATTTAATTTAGCTATTTTTTTTTTTTTTTTATTTTTCAAAAATTTTAAAAGAAACGAAAAAAAAAATTTTTTTTTTTTTTTTACTCTTTCAACTACTTTATATATTCCTTGTTTAATTAATTATTAGTAACAATATCCTGATAATACTTCTTTGATAATATATATATTATATATATAAATTTTAAGTTTGTGATGAAATCTATTGTTTAAATCAAATAAATCTTCACAAACAAAAAGAAAAACAAGTCAAGGAGCAAAAAAAAAAAAATAAATTTTTTTTAGTGTACTTTTTGCTATCAATTATTCATTAATAAATTAATTAATTAGTATTTTTTTATTCTAATTACTTTTTTTTTTCGCATCCGTTGATTGAATTGATTATCACGTTTTAACTGAATTTTACTCTATTTACAAAAAAAAAAAAAAAATTCTTTCTTCCCATATAATCCTTATAATCTAATCGTCATCGATTCAACAAAATTTTTATTTGTTATAAATTTATAAATTTCTCTTTTTTACAAAAAATTTTTTTTTATTCGCACGGAAAAATAATAACTTATTATTATTATTTCAAAAAAAAAAAATTTTTTTTATTTCTGACAGTAGCACAATCGATTTATTATTATCTTTATCATTATTTATTTATTTATTTCTTTCTCAACAAATCTTTCCTTTCTATAAAAATAATAGAAACAACCAATCTTAAAAAAAAAAAAAAAAAAAACATAAACTAAAATGACAACCGAAGAAGAGAACAAACCAATCATCGTCCCCACCAAATTCACATGGAAAAATTGGGGTAATAATATTGCAATAGCTGGTACTTTTGATCCCCCCACATATCCGGTATGGCAACCAATCGTAATGCCAAATGGCGAAGTTGAAATAAATTTGGTCCCAAATAAAAAATATTATTATAAATTTGTTATTGATGGTAATTGGGTGTTGGATCCTAGTTTAGCTAGTTATCCTGATGAACATGGAAATTGGAATCATGAAATTGTTGTTGAACAACCCATTCCTCCTTCTCCACCACAATTACCAGAAATTTCTAAAGAAGAAGATTCAACAATTATTCAACCTCCTGCACCTATCCTAACTCCACCAGAATCACCAGAATATAACCTTGATCTTGAAAATGATAAACATGTAGAAGAGGAAGAAGAACAAAAAGTAATTAATAATATTGAACAATATAATGATAATGAGAAACCTACAATGTCGGATGACGAAAAAGAAAATCACGATAGTAATGTTGTAATTGAAAACACAACTACTAAAATTGATGATGAAACTGCCACAACAAAAGAATTGGTCGAAGAGATTAAAGAATTAGAAGAAAAAGATTCTAAAGAAAATTTGAATGACGATAATAATATTGAACAATATAATGATCATGAGAAATCTACGATGTCGGATGACGAAAAAGAAAATCATGATAGTAATGTTGTAATTGAAAACACAAATACTAAAATTGACGATGAAATTGCCACAACAAAAGAATTGGTCGAAGAGATCAATAAAGCAAACGAAGATATTAAAGAATTAGAAGAAAAAGATACCAAAGAAAATGTGAATGACGATAATAAAATCGAAATTACATCTTTTTCCTCAGTTGATAATGATTTGGTGCATGATAATGATTTTGAAGCATTAAAATTTTCTGTGTCAGGTAATTTATTTATTTAATTTTATCAATTAATAAATAATTAGTCAAAGAATTATTTAAAAAGAAATGCCTGACTATTGTTATTGTTGTTATTATTATTATTATTATTATTATACGATGAAATTTATTAATGAATTTTGCCATTTTTATCATCATCAATAGAATCAACATTCGAGTCATCATTAGAGTCAACAATCGAATCTTCATCTTCATCTTCATCTTCTGTCACTACCACTACTACCGCTACTTTATCATCAATATCATCAATAACGCAAAAAGAATCATCAATAATAACAGCCAATACACATGTTTGTAAATGTGGTGATTCCTGTGATTGTACTGATTGTAAATGTGGCAGTGATGGGAATGAAGATGAACATCGTCATGAGGAGAAGTATCATAGTGAAATTATTAATGATAATGATAATGTTAATGATAATGTTAATGTTAATGATAATGATAATAATGAGAAGGTGCATGATAAAATTATTTCATTATCAACTGAAGCGCATGTTTGTAAATGCGGCGAATCTTGTAGTTGTGTTGATTGTAAATGCGGCAGTGAGAATGAGAATGAGAATGAGAATGATGACAAGATACATAGTGAAATTGTTTCAATATCAACAGAAGCAAATGATGTGAATGAGAATGAGAATGAGAAGGTGCATGATAAAACTATTTCATTATCAACTGAAGCACATGTCTGTAAATGCGGCGAATCTTGTAGTTGTGTTGATTGTAAATGCGGCAGTGAGAATGAGAACGAGAATGAGAATGAGAATAAGAATAATGATAAGATACATAGTGAAATTGTTTCATTATCAACAGAAGCACATGTTTGTAAATGCGGCGAATCTTGTAGTTGTGTTGATTGTAAATGCAGCAGTGACGAGAATGATAATGATAATGATAATAATGAAAAGGTGCATGATAAAATTATTTCATTATCAACTGAAGAGCATGTTTGTAAATGCGGCGAATCTTGCAGTTGTGTTGATTGTAAATGTGGCAGTGACGAGAATGATAATGATAATGATAATGAGAATGAGAATGATGATAAGATACATAGTGAAATTGTTTCAATATCAACAGAAGCAAATGATGTGAATGAGAATGAGAATGAGAAGATGCATGATAAAACTATTTCATTATCAACTGAAGCGCATGTTTGTAAATGCGGAGAATCTTGTAGCTGTGCTGATTGTAAATGCGGCAGTGACGAGAATGAAGACGAACATCATAATGAGGAGGAGTACAGTAAAATCATTGAATCATCATCAACAACAATTGATCATGATCATGATATTATTAAAAATGTCGTTTTTGAAACTACAAAATCAACTACAACAGCAATTGATAAAGATCATTTATTATTTTCTGGTGAAATTATTAATGATTTTGATTCTGGTGAAATCAAAAACAACGAAGAATTTTCAAATATGGAACTTGATGAAGAAGAAGAAAAACTTGAAGCCACCGAGACAATTGTTGATACTATAACTACAACATCTGACGACATAAAAGAATCTTCTCTATCTTCTACTATTGATGATGTTAAAGATTTTGATAATTCGAACACAAATATGTGGTCAGAAGAAATTACAAGTGAACAAGATCCAATTGTGGATAGAAACAAGTGGCCAGAAGTTATAAATGATCAAGATTTAACTTTATATACTTGGGAATCCAAAGAAAATGTATCGGAATTTAATTCTAACAATAATCAATCATCCGATGACTCAAATTGGACAATCGATAATGGTACCAATGATGACTTAGGTTTAGGTTTTGCCACAGAAACAATGACTACCACCACCACCACCACTACCACAATAGTAGAAAATGTTGAAGGGGATGATGATGTTGCTCCAACAGTTACAATAACAACAACGGCCACCCCCGATGCTGAATTTGTAGCAGAAGAAAAAGAGAGTGGCAAGGATGATGATGAAACTATTGTCGTTGAAAGTGTTTTAACATCATTAGAGGAAGAACAAAAGGAAGAGGAGGAATTAGTTGTTAATAATGATTCTACAATTGATGATAATAGTAGTAAAGAAGAAAAAGAAGTAATAATCGAAGGAATTACATCTTCAACTAATGTTGATATCATCACTACCGCCGCCGTTGCCACCACCACCACCATCACCACCACCACCACCACCACTACCACCACCACCAATAATGAAGAAGTTATTATTCTTGACGAAGAAGAAATTTTGGATACGACCGATGATTGTTTATCAAAAGAAGAAGCTATTATTCTTGATGAAGAAGAAGAAATTTCGAATACGATTGATGATTATTTATCAAAAGAAGAAGAAGCAGCAATTGATGAAGCAATTGTCAATAGTAGTGAATATAATACAGTTTTTGAAAAACTTACTTCCTCATTATTAGAAGCAGCAGAATTCGAAGCAAGCCTCTTGCCTAATAATAATAATAATAATAATAGCAACAACAACAACACTTCAAGAGAAATTTCAGATATTTCAAATTTTATGAGTAATTATAACGCCAACAATAGTTACTCTAATAACAATAACAATAACGATAAATCATCAAGATCATCACATAAACGTAACCATTCGAAATCCAACCATAAAAGTGAGTTTCCTATTTCTAATTCTAGAGAGATCATTTTGTTATCAGATGAACAGAAGCTTGCATTAATAAAAACTAGTCAATTTAATAAGAACTTTGATGATTATAATGCCGATGGAAACTTGATTATTTTGTTGATTAGTTTAATTACAACATTCACCTTGGGTATTATTTCTATGCTAAGTGATTCTGTAGTTGGTAGTAATATTAATAAGAATAATGCTAATAGCAATAAAAAAACTACCAACACCAACACCAACACCAACACCAACACCACTGTTCGTGTCAATAACTATTAATTAATTGATTTTAAATAATAGTTAGTTGGATATATATTCTTTTCTGAACAGATAATTAATTCCAAACTCGTAACTTTTATATTTTTCTTTCTTTTTTTTTTTCTTTTGAATCAATTAAATTTTTTTGTTCTTTAAAAAATTGTTAATAATATAATTGATAATGATAATAATGATAAATCTATTAAAAAAAAATTATTCATGATTTAAATTACATTAATAAACATTCATTTTGACAATATTTATTTTTTATTTATTCAAATGTAATATAATAACAATTATTAAAATAATTGATTAAATTTTTTCATATATGAAGTTTTTTATTTGTGCTTGTAATAGCATCGATGGAATGTTTTCGTTTTCCCTCGTCACCTATTAAAATCATTGAATTATTATTATTATTATTTATTATATTATTATTAAAACCAATGTATATAATATATAATACAAACCAGATTCATAACTTCCTCCTGATTCTTCATAATCATCGCTGCTACTCTGTAAATTATTATTGATTTTATTAATGAAATAATAAAATGAATTCCAAACGTTATCTATAATAATGATAATGGAATTTAAATCCGAATCCTTTTCATGTAAAAATGACCAGCCACTATTATTATAAAATCCTACTGGATCTTTGTTAATATATCTCATTATTTGTGCCCAATTTAAATTAATCTGTTGAAAATCCATACATTCCTTTACACCTTCTAATTGATGCATTGGAATGGTGTTAATATGTATTGGTGGGCGTGTATAATCTTTGAAAATTAACACCATGTCGAAATTTTTAAATCCATGTTGTATTCTTTCCAAGTTCACTACTTCTACATCAGACATAGTTATAACTAAAAATGGCAAATCTATTAAATGAACAAGACAATCAGTTGTTAGTTGTAATAATATATTGGTTTTAAATGGAACACACCAAAGAATCCAATATCTCTAAAAGGAACATCCACATGTACTTTTTCATTACTGGACTATGCAATTTTATTGTCAAAGCCTTTAAAATTTTTATTTAACAAGAATCGTCTTCTATACTCTTTTAGCTCTGAACCAACCTCATCTTTTACGATTATCAGTCACATCAAATTGAGCATCAGACGTTTCACGGAAAAACTGAATGTCTTTGGCCTTTTCCTTTCCAAAGATAATTGGATTGATTAAATGAATGTGCAAAATTACAATCAACTCGTAGTCACAAGGTTGGAAAAATAAATGTTTAATATTGCTATATAGCATGTCTATTTTCTGGTTTTAATGACGAAACATATAATGAATGCCATTTTCATGAATCTGCAAGTCACCAGGTACTTTGTCCCCCTCCAATTCTGGCCTCACAAAAATGTATGTTCTGCTTCTTTTTTAGTCGAGTTTTTCTTGAGTTCAACCAGGGTTGCGCAATTTCGCTGTACGAGAAGAATCTTCGTACATACGTACGACTGACTTCGTACCATTGAGTTTGTACAGTTTTGTTGTGGTCGTACACCTGTACGAGGAAATTTTACATATGTACGTACGTACGTACGAACGAATGTACGAATGTACGATGTATCAGGAACGATGATTTTCTGCAGTGATAAAATATTACTTTGTAAAATCCTATAATAATAATATTATTATTAAGCGATAACCCTATTATATAATTAACAGATTACCAGATGTTGTAACTGGGGTCGTAATACTATTTCATTATCAGAAAAAACTTGATTATCATGTTATATATGCTTATTTAAATCCCTTGTTATTATGTAGTAGTATTATATACGTTATTATTATTATTATAGTCAGTGTTGTGTAATTCCGTTGTACGAACGTATGATGATTTTCTGTGGTGATAAAATATTATTTTATAATAATATTATGCTGTCAGCCCTATTACTATTACGATTACTATAATTAAAGGTCG